TGGGGAAAAGTTAGGGAAGATGGAGGCAAATATTAATAAAGTTTAGCAAAAGCAAATATAAAGAGTATATTGTTTACCCCATTAAGATTATTTTGAAAATTGCCAAATTGCACAGGTTCTTATATTATCTCATCTGAAGGGTACAATTTGTTCCTCCCCTTTATTTTTTCCTCTTGTTCTGAGCCAATTTCCTATCCAGGGCAAATGTTCCTCCAACCCCTAGTCATCTTGATAGAGATTTTTTCCAGTTTTTGATATGGAAAATTTTCAGTGGTTTTTGGAAATTTAAGTAGCTTAGATTAGTCAGAAAGAGTTTTTTTTTTCCTCCATAAACCAGTAATGTATTTCTCCTCATAATTTTATCTAAATGTTTCATATGTTTGAATTTGACTTATAACTGTCTCTATGGTTTCTATGGTTGTCAAACTTCTCCACAAAAATATTATCTACCATGGTTTTAAATATTTAATTTAAGATATAATCCATTTATCAAAAAATGCACAAAATATGGTTGTAGAGATCAATCATTATTCCCTTACCATATCAAGAAATAGAAAATTACCAGCACTACAGAATCCGTATGTTCCTCATATACTCCTTTTTAAAAAAAGTTTTTTTAAAATATTCATTCATTTTTGAGAGACAGAGAGAGACAGAGTGTGAGACAGAGTTTCAGTGGGGCTGAAAGAGAGGGAGACACAGAATCCAAAGCAGGCTCCTGGCTCTGAGCTGTCGGCACAGAGCCTGATGTGAGGCTTGAACCCATGGGCCATGAGATCATGACCTGAGCTGAAGTCAGACACTTAACAAACCAAGCCACACAGCTGCCCCACTCATTTTTATCCTTTCCCTCCTCCACTATAATTTGATTTGATTTAAAATTTAAATAAATGGAATCATAAAATATGTATTTTTTGTGCTTGGCTTATTTCTTACTACATTATGCCTCTAAGATTCATCCATGTTGTTATGAATAGTAGTATTCTATTCTCTGTCATTGCTGTTCTTTGTTACAATGGACAGAGGTATCACAATTTATCTATTTATTTCACTGTTGATGGAAACCGGAATTGTTTCCAGTTTTTAGCTCTTATGAATAATGCTGAAAGTTTTTCTACATGCCTCTTGAGATAAATGTGCAAGCATCTCTATTGGGAGTATTTCAGTAATGGAACTGCTATCTTCTAAGAAGAGTTTGTGTTCAATTTTAGAAGATAACTACTCAGCAGATTTCTAAGTTCTTGGTATCAATTTAACATTAACCAACAGAATATGAGAATTAGTTGTTCTATGCTCTTCCCATCTCTTGGTACTAAAAGTCCTTTTGATTTTAGCCATTCTAGTGGTTATGCAGTAGTGTCTTACGTTTTAACTGAATTTTACTGATGGCTACTACTGTTCCACAAATTTTCATAGATTTGTCATTTGACTATAAGTCTCATGCCTGTTTTTCTTTTGAGTTGTGAATTTTTTTCTGTATTGATTTTGTATGCATATTTCATTTATCCTGCATATAAGCCACTTCTTGTTATATGAGTAGTGAATAAATTTACTCGTTTTACTTCTTTAATTTTCTTAATGCCATCTTTTGATGAACACAATTTTTACAAATTAAAGTGGCTTGATTTATCATTTTTCCTTTATTGTTAAAACTTTTGATTCCTGTTTAAGAGATTTTTACTCAACTCAAGCTGTGACTACATGATTTTGTATTATTTTATCAAATTATACTTTATTTTTCATATTTATATCTACACTGTGTTTGGAATTGTTTTTTTAGTGTGTGGTGTGATCCACACATGAAAATTGGTCAAGATCCAATTTTTTTGATCAAAATTGATCAAGATCCCATTTTGTTGCCTTATGTGAACCCAATTAAATGGTCACCAAAAGTCCATCCTTTCCCCATTATGTTATAGGGCTACTTTGGCATAAATCAAGTGGGTATATTTATGACCTCTCTGTTCTGTTAAATTGGTCAATTTTTCCATCCTTGTGCCAATACAACATTGTGTTGGTTTTTGTAGCTTTATAATGTTTTGATTTCAGTAGAAAAAAAAATCTCACCTTATTTTCCATCAAGAATGTTTTAACCATTCTTTTTTTTAAACATATTTTTAGAGCAGTTTAGGTTTATAACAAAATTGAGAAGAAGATATAGAGATTTCTCATATATTCCCTGTCCCCAAACATGCACAGCCCCATTATTATTATTACTATTATTATTATTATTATTATTTACTTTTACATCATTATTTACATCATTCACCAGAATGATAATATTTTTTTTACTAAGAATGAACTTCCAATGATTCATTACAATCATCCAAAGTCCGTAGTTTGCCTAAGGGTTCACTCTTGGTTTTGTACATTCTGTGAGTTTGGACAATTGCATACTGGCATATATTCATCGTTATAGTATCACACAGACTATTTTTCGTATCTTAGATGACTATGCTCTGCTTAGTCATCTATTCTTCCCCTTCCCCAACCCTGAGAATCCCTGACTCTTTTATTATCTCCAAAGCTTTGTTATTCCAGAATGTCATATAGTTGAAATCAAACAGTATGTCACCTTGTCAGATTGCTTTCTTTTATTTAGTCATATTATATATTTAGAATTCCTCCATGTCTTTTCATGTCTTGACAGCTGATTTATTTTTAGCACTGAATAATATTCTGTCAAGCATGGATATACCAGTTTACTTACTGAAGGGTAATGTTGGTTGCTTCCAAGTTTTGGCAATTATAAAGCGATGATAAGCATCCGTATGCAGGTTTTTGTGTAGATATAAATTTTTTACTCCTTTGGGTAAATAATAATAAGAATGTGGTTTTCATTGCTTTATTGAGGGATGACTGAAATCCTAGGTTGGAAATAGGAAAAGAACAACTTAGCAGAGCAAACTTACCATTAAAGATCAAAAAGGTGACTGCAATTATTTCTGTTGTGTAGGCCATCCCTTACCATGTTACCTACTATGCACGTATCTCGAATTCTTGCACAGAATTTGAATGTTTAGATTAAATCTAAAACCCTAAAACCCAGTGTTATCTAAGTCTCCTTTGTCTGCTTCAGAGTAAAGTTTAATTCTTAATTTTTATTCATACAACAAATAATAATTGATTGCTAACTGTGACACAGGCATTATTCTACATGATGTAGATATTGCAATGACCAAAACAGATTAAAATTCTGGCCTTCATGGAATGTCCATTCCAGCATGAACACATGCTGATCTCATCAGTAACCTCTTTTTATCAGAATATTTCCCCTGGGGACCCTGTAGCTTATAGACTGGTGAGGTTTCAGTGCCAGAGAATATTTATGATACAGAGGATGGGGCCCGTCCTTCAGAGTCTAGGACTAGAGTTGAGTCCCAGACCTATAATTATAACTTGTGGGATCTGAGAAAATTATCTGTCCTGTATGAGTTTCTGTTCTTATTACAGGGATTAACAAGACTGAATTCACATGGTTGTCAAAGAAATTAAATTAGATGATACACATAAAAAATAATTTGCAAATTTAAAAATTACATATATTTATAAATCAATTTCAGGAAATTAACTTCCTTACAATATTAACACTTTCAATATAATCATGGCATTTCTTTTTAACTTGTAGATCTTTAAAAATATTTTTCCATTAAGATTAATAATTTTTTGTATGGGGATATTGCCCATTTCCCATATGCACATTTATTTTGAGGATTTGTCATTTTATGCTGTGCATATGGTATGTTAACATTTTTAAATTTTTTAATGCTTATTTGTTTTTCAGAGACACAGAATCTGAAGCAGGGCCCAGGCTCTGAGCTGTCAGCACAGAGCCAGATGCGGGGCTTGAACTTACGAACTATGAGATCATGCCTGAGCCTAAGTCAGATGCTTAACTGACTGAGCCACCTAGATGCCCCTCTTTACATATTTTTAAAAATCATGTGGTTGTTCTTGTTTAAAAGTAAATATAACTATCCTGATGACTAAAAAGTGCCTTTTTGAAAACATAATGGCAGGCGAGTTTGGAACCATGTAGACAATAAAGGTAATGCTGCCTACTTTGAAGAAAAAATTCATATAGTGCTTTAGGTTTTTCATGAATCATTCATTCATTCAAGCTTTAATGACTGTCTTTCATTTACCATGAGAATCAAGTGGGGACATGAAATAGTCCTGATACAATGTAACAATTCTGTAATAGAGTTATACACATATAAAATAACTCTCTCTCTCTCTCTCTCTCTCTCTCTATATATATATATATATCTACTTGTATGAAAATCACCGTAAAGTATACATGCATATAAGTCACTCAAAGGAGAAACTGAAAAAAAAAAACTGCTAAGCTGTACCTGATCATATTTTTAAAATACAGTCAATTTATGTAATGTTTTCAAATTAACTTAATAATACTTTAACTCCTTTTCACATTAATGAGAAATCCTTCATTTATGCTGTTCTTTTGAACCTTGATTTTATTCTTACCTGGCAATTCTTGGAAATTTCTGCTCCTTAGAGTATTGCCTTCATTCACAGAGATTTTTTTATTTTTTTATTTTTTGCAAGAATTTTTGAGAGTGACCTTCTTACGTAGAGCTGAGAATCCTGAAGATTCTTCTTGAAGATGCAAATTTTGTTTGTGTGGGAAAAGGGAGTATCAGTAAGAAGGAACTAACTCTAATACCATTGTATTGTTTAATCTTCCTCTTCTTTAAAAATAAACGCAAATCTCAAACCTAACAAAACTTTTTTGCACTTTGACCTTGAATACATCACATGTTATGTGTCACTCATTAACACTATTTGTCTTCCAAGAACATTTTATGATAACACTTATGTTTGATCTACTTTCTTTAATAAGGATTTTATTATTTTTTAAATCAAAATTTGATCAAGATTGCCAGACGTTGTGCATAGAAGCATAGAGATAGAGCACCTCAGCCTTTTTCCTGTATGCACACAGGATGAAAGGCTGACTCCTTAATTCAATCAAGAATTGATGTGGAGCACGGCTGTGTTGGAACCTGAGGTAGAGCTCAGTATCAAGTTCATGTCTGGTTTCAAATGGACTCAAAAGTAAACCTTCTGGTGTGCTGTTCTGGGCCCTTGTTGCTAGTGGGAATTTGTTCTTTTTTTTTTTTTTTTTAATATTTTTATTTATTTCTGGGAGCGAGAGAGACAGCGTGAGCAGGGGAGGGTCAGAGAGAGAGGGAGTCACAGACTGAAACAGGCTCCAGGCTCTGAGCTGGCAGTCAGCACAGGGCCCGATGCGGGGCTCGAACCCACGAACCGCGAGATCATGACCTAAGCGAAAGTCGGACGCTTAACCGACTAAGCCACCCAGGCGCCCCTGTTCTTTTTTTTTTTAATTAAGTATAGTTGACACACAATGTTCCATTAATTCAGGTATACAACACAGAAATTTGACAACTCTGTTTGCTATGCTCACCACATGTGTAGCTACCCTCTGTCACCATACAATGTTATTATAAGGCCATTGATTATATTCTGCTGTACCTTTCATTTCTGTGAATTATTCATTTTGTAGCTGGAAGCCTGTGCCTCCCACTCCCCTTTACCCATTTTGCCCTTCCCCCACCCACCCCCCCTCTGGCAGTTAACCATCAGTTTGTGCTCTGGATTTATGGGTCTGTTTCAGCTTTTAAAATTTGTTTTGTTTTTTATATTCCACATATAAGTGTAACCATATGGTATTTTGCTTTCCCTATCTGACTTATTTCACTTAGCATAATATCCGCTGTGTCCCTCATGTTGCTGCAAATGGCAAGATCTCATTCCTTTTTATGGCTGTGTAACATTCCATTATGTACAGGGAATACACACACCTACATACACACACCACACATTTTCTTTTTGCATTCCTCTATCAATGGATACTTAGTTCACTTTCATATGTTAGCTATTGTAGATAATGTTGCAATAAGCACAGGGGAATTCTTAAATAGTCTAGTTTTTTCTCATAATCGAGTTCTTTTTACTATCTAAGAATTCTAGAAAGAAAGGGGAAAATGTACAAAACCTTTTATAAAATAAATGGCGATAATTTGGCAAAAATGTCTTCTGTACTTCATTTAAGCATTACTCCATTAGATAACATATGAAAACAAGAGAAGTAGAATAAACCATCTGGGTTGAAGACTGTAGGAGGAGATTTGGTTGGAAGCTTGTACATTAAATGAAAATATTTGTGCTAGGAGACTGATTTTTGTATGCATGGTGGCAGCCAATTAGTTTCTTGACTGTGCTAACTCATGTTTTTTAATTCAAAGCTAAATATCTGGCATTTGAAAGAACTCTTAAAACTGCAACATGCAGATGAGCCTACTTAGAATACAGCAAACTGAGAGGACTGGGTAAGTTGAGTTATGGAAATTCTATGCTTGTGAGCTATACTGACTTCTTACCCTGCCCCAAACTCCTCCATCTTCTAATGCATTTCTTTAAGGGACTCATTTTCAAGCAATCATTTAATGAGGGGTTACTGTGTGCCAGGTATTATACTCAGTGACTTATGCAGATTATTACATTTAATTCTCAAAACTACTCAGGAGAGAAGTTTAACTGGACCTGTTACAAAGCCTTTCTTGATGTAGAACCCACTCAGAACTGACAACTCAAACCAGGTATATTTTACTTCAAAATCCAACAAACGCCACCAAGTATTGTGCCTTTCTTTGTGTTAGGTCATAGAAGGCATAACAACCTATCCTCACTTTCTAAGAATATCCTGACATTTCATACATACTGGACTTTTAGAAACATCACCTGTGTGGCAGGCCTCTGAAACTTCTCAGGTTTAGCTTCCACGCTTTGACATGCAAGGGTCTTACAAGGCATCTAGGGTTCTTAATTCCTGATAATTGGGTACTTTTAGTAAAACATCATCAATATAATGACAGGCCAGTATAATTTCTTTAAAAACAATTTTTTAATGTTTACTTTTGAGAGAGAAAGACAGAGTGTGAGTGGGGGAGGGACAGAGAGAAAGGGAGACAGAATCTGAAGCAGGCTCCAGGCTCTGAGCTGTCAGAGTCTGATGCAGGCTCGAACCCATAAACTGTGAGATCATGACCTGAGCCAAAGTCTGACATTTAATGGACTAAGGCACCCACGTGACCCAGCCAGCATAATTTCAATGTCACATAAAGGTTGTAAAGGACTGGGGCGCCTGGCTGGCTCAGTTGGTTCAGTGGCCAAGTCTTGGGTTTTGGCTCCGGTCATGATCTTTCAGTTGGTGAGTTCAAGACTCACCTCGGGCTCTGTGCTTCTGGTGTGGAGCCTGCTTGAGCTCTCTCTCTCTCTGCACCTCCCCTGCTCATCTCTCTCTCTCTCTCATTCTCTCTCTCTAAAAATAAATAAATAACTTAAAAAAAAGACTACAAAGGACTATATGATAAAAGGCCTGAGACAAAATGGTAAAGATATACTTTATCTCTGTAAAGTAATTACTTCTGATTATCTTTGTTAGATTAAGAAAAAAATAGGTTAAGTCAATGACTACACTAGCAGCTGGGAACTGTACTGATTTTTTTCTAATCCTCAGCTGCAGATCAAGTTTGTGATAAAGCTCAGTCTCCAAGATCTATTAACCTTATACACCAGCCAAATGGGCTATTTAAATGGAAGTGTGGTATAAATCAACTTCCCTTGCATTTTAAGACTCTTTTGTTATGGAGCTAATTTTTTCAGTTCACCCAGGCATGTGGTATCACTTTGGGATTGCTGTACTTTAAGGAGGGTAGGGGGAGAAGGAGTGAGAGGAGGGGAAGCTTTACTGAAAGCAGACAAAATAGCTGTATAGAAAGAGCCACCTGACAGACACTGAGACCTGCAGTGGGGCTGGAGCTAATTCCTGGCATCCAGCAGGGAGAGACTTGGGAGGATACATAAATGCCTTGAACTCATCCTCCTCCACCCTCTCCAGGTGGTGGTGTCTCCCATTGGCCAGACCAACAAGATGCTGGAGGGGATGGCAGCTGTGGGTGCATGCCATAGAAATCAGCCTCCTGGAGAACGAGTAGAGTAAATAAGTATGGAGAGAATATGATGGTAGTGAGACTGATCAATGAAAATAGCCCAACTGCAGACCTTTTACAATGTAAGTACATTGCTGCTAGTTGCTAGAGGAAAACAAAACAAGCTGTAAAATTGTCAAGTTTACTGCCTCTTACAATTTTCTTTTAAACATGGATCTTGTTCTACATTTTACTGACTCTATTCTCACACATCACTGGAAGCTCATTTGAACTTCATCCCCTATAGGTGGGGTTACCCTTTCCACTCTTCTAACTCTTTCTTTAAAGTTGGTCTTTTGAGCTCATTCATGCAAAATTGCTACTTTTTATAGCTTTTAGTTCCTAAAATACCAAAAAATAAACAAATTAACTAAATCTGATTTCCAAGATATTATTGGGTGAATAAATATCATTCCACTAAAACTTTTCTCCAATCAAAAACTGCTCGTATCTGTCTTTACACTCAAGTATTGACCAGGGAGTATTTCTGTTCTTTTCTTTGGTGGAAAGAAAATATTTGAAAGCACCCTATCTTGCTCCTAGCCATTTTGTGAAAGAATTCTATCTGCTCATTATTATTTTCTGTGTCATGTAATCAAATATTTAGCCTCCGCACAGCAGTAACAGCTGTTTTTAAATCTATTTACTTATTTCTACAATAGAGTACTTCTGACTAATTTTTTTCATGTCCAATGATGTGTGTTTTACATTTACATGTTGGAAGAGCTGGTGCCAACAAAGGCCATGGAATGGAAATGTTGTTTTTGTTCTATTTGCTCAGTCTTGTTTTTCTGGGTAGGTTTGTGAACCAATAGAGTTTGAAAAGCCAAAATCATATACCGGAATATAATGTATAATTATTTCTGAATCAGAAGTAAGTCTTAAGTTAACTTGATATTTCAAATATTTTAGGACACAATAAAGCACTACCTCTTTAGTGTTTCCCTTTCAAAGAAAGCCCCTTACTGACCAAATATTTGCTTCACATTGAATTCTGAACAGTTTGGGAGAATTGACATTCCAGAAGAAAGATAGTCCTCAGACTGGCAAGAATCCTCCTTTTTTTCTGAATTTATATAGGATAGAGTTTAAGAGTTTAAGAGCTAAATGAAAATTTAAAGGAAACATTCTAAAACTTAGAACATTTATTTCCTCCTTCATTGTTTTAGGGACTTGGGACTACAAAAAAAGAATGAAATCACCCATGGTAGAACATCTGGTTGAATTTTGCTAGTTCTTTTTATTTTATGCATTCCAACTTTCCCCATTTGAATGAATAATATTTAAGTGGGTAATTTTTACTTTTCATAATGCTGATCTTTCAAAAGAGAACATCACATTGTTTAAGCAACCTTAGTAATGTGGGAAATTATTTTCTCTTCAGTTAACTTGCTCAGACATTGCCGGTCAACATTGCATACCCTAGCAGAAATAGTGTGGTTTACAAAGTGGATTTCCTAGATCTCAGTGACTCAAATTCTCTCCTTGACCACATCAAAGTTCAAAGTGTCTGTTGAACATGAAACTCTTGTCCAGGAAGTGCACCCCTTAAAGAAAGGAATTTGGGTAAAGTCTGGCAGGATTGTAAATAAAACCCAGGAGTTAGTTACATCAGAATGGGCTCCCACAGGAATTAAATGCTTGCTTTTCCCCCTCAAGGGAAACCACAACTTATTAAAGACAAATAAAATTTGGGTTTATTTTTAAGTGAAGAATATTCCCTTTTTTGGTCTAACTTTTTAAAAAGTTTATTTATTTATTTTTTAAAGAGAGAGCACAAGTGAGCAAGGGACAGAGTGGAAGGGAGAGAGAGGGAATCCCACACAGGCTCTGCATTGTCAGGAGGGCAGACAATGTCTTTTAAGCAGAGAATTCATTTTTTCTATAATAGTTTTAGAAATTTTGAGACGTATAATCCTCCAAGATATCAGCCCAATATGATGTCAATATTTTACAGATGTGGCTTTCGAGGGCTGAAGAAGTTAGGTGAATTGACCAGAGTTACCCAGTGGCAGAGCCAAAAGTGGACCCCTGTCTTTCAGTTGACTTTTTAGTAGTAAAATTATGCAAACTTTCATTTTTTTCTTTGAGTCCTGAGTTCTTCATCTGGGAAGTGGGATTAATAATCATAACTCATTTTCTTGTTTTGAGTGAAATCCATGTAAAGAGCCTAGGTCCATTCCTGGAACATAGTAGGTCACCCACACATATCGGTTCCTTTTTCTTCCTCCTCAGACTCTAGAATCCTTGGTCACGCATGGTAAGAAGAGGGCTTTGAAGCCTTTGAGGCCACCTTTGAGGTCACCATGAGACTGAAACCTCAGCCCTGGTGAAAATCTCTATTAGAAGTAACAGACCTTAGGGGATGGTGGAGAAGCACAGATGTCTAAGCCCAGAAAAGAATTTGGAAGCATTGACAGAATCAGCAGGTCTCAGAGATGGGCAATCTGGAGTCTATAGCCAAATCCCACCATGAGTACAGCTATGTGAACTAGACATCTCCCATAGACTGGCACTCAGGGTGGAGCACTGTTCTGGTTTGTCTGAGAGGCCACATACTCTGTGGTGGAGTTATGGATATAGATGAGCTGATGGACTAAGTGACTAATCCTGAAGGGGAATACACGTCCAAACATAGAGGGGAAAGAGAGAGACAGAGCTAAGATCAGAGACCAATTTTTATTTCTCTCCCATGTGTTTTTTATAAATGATAATGCAACTAAAAGAATTTGGGGGGCACTTTGGGGCTCAGTCAGTTAAATGTCTGACTTTGGTTCAGGTCATAGTCTCATGGTCTGTGGGTTCAAGTCCTGTGTTGGGCTCTGTGCTGACAGCTCAGAGCCTGGGGCCTACTTGGGATTCTGTGTCTTCCTCTCTCTTTCTGCCCTTCCCTGGCTTGTACTCTGTGTGTGTGTGTCTCTCTCAAAGATAATTAAACATAAATTAATTAATCAAATTAATTAAATTAATCAATTAATTAACTTTGGACTTTGATTGCTGCCTCTTGTTTATGCATGAACTCTTTATGTAGATGCAAAGTGGGGTACAACTTTTTAAAAATTTAAAAATATGTGGAAGCTAACACATATGCTTATATAGAATCTTCCCTGGGATTTTTATTCCAGGGCGGGTATGAAGGTTCCAGTAAATGGAGCTTGACTGAAACACTGAGATGCATGTGCCAATCCACTTTTTGTCACACATCCTAGAACTGTCTATCCACTGACTTCCTCTGAAGGTAAAGTGAGATAAGAAGTTAGTTTTATGTTTCTGTTATAGAAATTCTCCTACTTTAAAATATATTACTCTTTTCTGTTTTATTTTGTTTTATTTTTTCCTTTTTATTTTTATGGAAGTACTTATTAGGTAATAATCTCTTTGGCCTGATTTATGTCTTTAAACTGTCTGATACTATAAAAATTGGGTCACTTTAGGCCATTCCCCAATTCCATAAATAAAAACCATAACATTTTAAAAAATAATATCACCCAATAAATCAAAATAACTTAAAATCTGACCAAATATTTAGCTATTTTAACACATATGTGTTTTATCAAATCTCACATTCTGTAATAGTCCCTGGACATATATAAAAAATGCTGAATTTAGGCTGCTAGTTAGTCAATTGGTAGGAAACATCTTACTATTAACTGTTCATTGTTTTAGAAATCCAAACCAGCATATAAACAATATCTCATTCAAAGGTGAGTATTTTGCAGTTTAGGAATAATTTAAATCAGACAACAGGATTTTTATGAGACTCAAACTATCTAAAGTGAGACTGGAACCCTTATCAAAGGAAATAAGTTTGTCTTCTTTTCCCCCATAGGTCAGCAGTTCAAAATATATGTGAAGCAATTAGCAATCATTAACATATTTTTCTGGCATAGTTACTCTGATTAGCCTCCTCTAATTGGAAAGTAACCTGAGGGAATAGCTCTCAAAATGCTGAAGTTGATTGGAGAAGGGCAACACATGGATCAAAAGACATGTATTCTATCATGCCCTTTAGCTGTACATTGCTCAGTGGCATCTGATGGGGAAGCCACAGAGAAACACAAGTGGGTTAGGGATAGGAAAGTGAGGGTCAAGGATAGGAAGAGCACGCATGGTGCATAGGTAGATTTCACCTAATTCATGTTTGTGCCTTTGGCGGATCTTGTTACGATAACATCTCCTCTGTTCTTCAATTTGCTATTCAACAACCATCATAATCAAAACATTGATTCTAAGGCGTAGAATGAACTTCTTCTATGAGTTTAAGTACTTCGTCCTAACCTTAAGGGAACTGGCAAGCTAAACATCACACTTAAAACCTTGCTTTGTATTCTTTTGATCCAACATACCCACTTTTCTTATGCAACTTCATACCAAGACTGAATTAAAATAAGAAAAAATATTACTTTTGGCTACTGAACCATTTCCTAATAAGTATTGATGTTGAGGACAGGAGGCAAATGACATCACCATTTCTGTTTATTTTACTGCTCTGTTTCCAGTGTGGTATGCTTGTTCATTCAGGTACCGTATGCCAGAAAGGAAGGGTGGTTCCATCTGTGAAAAACTGATAATCCGAGCTTTTCTTAGACTGCCACTAATAAGTGAATGAAGACAATTCTGAATACTTATAACACTGTATGTTCTAGATTTTGACAGATAGTTTGATTTCACTGACTTACCTCTCTACAGGTGGCCGAGTAACTGCCTGATATATTAGGGCACCAAAAAGGGGGAGACTAAGAGCACCATTTCAAAGAAAGTCATGGTGCATGCCACTTCCATATGTCTTCCCCTACTTTTTAAAAAATGTGTGTTTGTTTTGTTTGTTTGTTTGTTTTTCCAGGTCACAAATATGTATCAAGCATTTTTACCTTCATCAGTTTAACATTGATGAATTTGATGCCACTGAATGAGCATCGGTACACTGAAACACTACAATGTTAGACTGCATACCATTTTAAAATATCTTAATTACTTAAAATCTCAACTCGAGGGGCCTGGGTGAACACTCAGTCGGTTGAGTGTTCAACTTGGCTTGGGTCATGATCTTGTGGCTGATGAGTT